CAGAATCTCTGCGGACGCAAGAATTCCAAAGGTACGATGGTTGGTACAATAACCTTGCAAATCGCGATTGGGGAAGTGCAGGTACGTCATGCTCTTTGGTCAATTAAAAGTACAGAATAGTTTAATTAACTTACTGCAAGTATTTAGAAATAAAGTCAGTTAATATTGAAATAGCCTTTATAACCTTCAAAGATCAAAATGGCAGTTAGGTGAACTGTCAAAGGTCATTCACTTTTACTTCGGTTTATTTTTAGGTAGCCGCCTTCACCGAGACTCTCCGTCCAACTACGAAGATGGAGTGTACATGATGAACTTATCGCTACCGTCTGCACGTGTGCTCTCTGATCTCGTCTTTAAAGGTTAAACAACTTTAGGAACATGTATTTTGGAGGGGGAAGAGGTTCGAGAGGGATTGTTATTTATGGGAGGAAGAGGGTAAATTAAAGGGTAAATTTTCTATCCCTTTCAAATAGTCCTTCCTCATCCAAGCTCTACGCTCAACTTACCCTTTTATCCCATCTCTCCCTATCCTTGTTTTTTTTACACCCCTTTTACACTGAGTAAGATTGTAAGCATTCGTTTGTTGTTCGTGTATTGTTTATATCTACAAGGCCCATATTTTAGTCTTTTTAGATAATGAAGCTTCTTCTCTTCAAGTTAATGAACATATGCACAATGATTAGCTCAGAAAATTTCTTATATTATAGAATTGACTTTGATATTTTCAGGCAAAGCTGGTATTCCAAATGCACGAAATCTCACCTCAATGTTTGCCTTCTTCAGTGGGTTTTTTCTAAGGTTGCTCTCGGGACCAAGTTATTTTTTCAACGATAAAAAGTCTTATCAATATAAGAATTTTAAATTAACTTCTCACCTACAGTATGGTCATGTTTTTTCAGCATACATTTTGCCCAACTATAATTTAACAATTATATGTTGTTTAGGTCAGGTTGTTGCCTATGAAATCATGGCTTCGACGGCAACCAGCTGTCCGTTGGAAATTATGAAAATTCCAGTGCCAGCGGGCGATCCAGTAAGTAAAATAAACTTGCTTAAACCAACTCTTTAGTATTGAACGAGTTTAACAGAAATTCAACCGCGTAACTTATGTAACCAAAAACTAATAAGGAAAATTTAATTTGAAAATTCAACTATTCTTTGTCAGTGAACCCATTGTTTTTGCTTAAGATTTATAATTCTTATGTTTTATAAGACTTGAACTCAAATTTGAGGTATACGACATTGATGGTACCGGTACAGAAATCCCATTTACAAGAGCAAAATACGATAAGCAAACTGGGCAAGGATTCAATTCGCCTCGTGAGCAGGTAATTTCTACTTCCTAGGTTCTAATAATTTACATTGTTTACTGCATATTATATCAGTTACTTATTTTTTAATACTTTACTACTTTCAAGAAAAAGTTAAGATTTTCTGATCTTTACCTTTTTTATAGCGTCAAACAAATAGGGGATAAAGGTAAGGTGCAATTTACTTTGGATGAAGTCCTAATTAGATAGAGATTAGCTAAGAGCAGTAAAAGATAGTAAAAAACCATAGTTTTATGAAGTGATAATCAAAAACTTACATAGAGATAATACTAGGAGAAATGAGCATTCTTCCTTTGGAGCATTTTTATCCCATCTAGGTCAATGAACGAACTGCATGGATTGACGGCTCATTTGTATACAGCGTAATGGAAGCATGGGTAGCCACTATGAGATCATTTGAAAATGGTACGCTCAAGGAAGGAAACACTAAGAGGTTTGTCAAAGTATCCAAATAAGAGCTATTGTTCAACAAAAAAAAAGATCAGGTTGCTTTAGATATCCGCCCTTGAATAATCCACACATTCCGCTGAATAATCCACCTCCTCCACAGATTCATCGCTTGATGAATCCTGATCGGTTATTTCGTGAGTTATAACTTACTGTACACCTAAAGGAACTGGGATATCC